TGTCTAGACATGTGTATCTAGCTATAGGCGTACGAAATTGGACGCTCGGGAATGATGCTTTGCTCAAGCGTGATTTGTCAGGGCATGATCCAAACATGCACTATGTGTTAATGTATAGTAGCTACTCTACTTTGGCTAAGTACCTAATCAGGTAATAGTGTCAACATATTGCATTAAGATGATTGCAGTGATTCAATTATATCCAACTATTACCAAACATCTTATTAGTTGTCACATAGTGTTGACGCAAAGTAATCATATAATAATCCAAGTTATACTGGAATCAAGGGCATGTGTACATCAAATAATCGATAAAAAAACAAAATCAAACACAGTTTTTATAAAGTCTGAAAAGCTCTCTGTCCTTACTAGAGGAATCCTTATATAGCATAATGAAGTATCTACATTATATTGTTTTGTCACACGAATAAGGATTATCTCGTTACATGTTCTTTCGTTCTCGTGTTGCATTATCTGCTAAGCTACATTATGTGTTACAAATGTTGAAGCTACCTCACAAACCCACTCGTTGTTCTCCGAAAAATGAGTTAGTTGTTAAATAAAAACATATGATTGAGATCAACAGCGAAATGATAAAACAGACTGCACGGATCTACAGCGATCCCACGGCATTTAGAGAGATTAATATATGGGCAAATAGTTAATTATAAAAGCGTAGGGCTGTTTTTGCAAAAATTGGCTGACGTGGTGCGCTATTTCTCCCACGAGCCCACGGTATTTAGGGCCCTGTTTAGTTCACATCAAACTTTCCCCCAACTCCCAACTTTCCATCACACCACATCATATCCTAAACTTTTCTACACACATAAACTCCTAACTTTTTTTTTCCAAACTACAAATTTTCCCCAAACTTGTCCCCAATTATATGAATTAAACATAGCCTTAGAGAGATTAATTAATTAATACTATTCCGAAGAGAGTTAAGGGATATCCCCTGGCCTGAACGCGCAAATTAATCCGGCGGGCGAGCCCCTTGTCTCCCTCTCCTCCGCCCACCCCACCGGCGATGGCACACGGCGGCGGCGAGGAAGAGGAGGAGCGGGTGCTGAGCCACGGCGACGTGGTGCTGTTCCGCTGCGACCTCACCATCCTCCGTGGCCCCCACTTCCTCAACGACCGAATCATCGCCTTCTACCTCGCCCACCTCGCCGCCGACCACGACGCCGACGACGACCTCCTCCTGCTTCCCCCCTCCATCCCCTACCTCCTCTCCAACCTCCCCGACCCCGCCTCCGTCGCCGCCGTCGCCGATCCCCTCCGCCTCGCCTCCCGCCGCCTTGTCCTCCTCCCCGTCAACGACAACCCCGACGTCTCCCACGCCGAGGGCGGCTCCCACTGGACCCTCCTTGTCCTCGACAACTCCAACGCCGTCTCCGGCCCCCGCTTCGTCCACCACGACAGCCTCCCACCCACCAACCTGCCCTCCGCGCGCCGCCTCGCCGCCGTGCTCCGCCCGCTGCTCCCCGCCTCCGCGATCCCGCTCATCGAGGGCCCCACGCCCAGGCAGACAAACGGCTACGACTGCGGCGTCTTCGTGCTAGCGGTGGCCAGGGCCATCTGCAACTGGTGGCCCACCCGCGCCCGCCATTCCAATTCCGATTCCGATTGGTTGGAGGCCGTGAAGAGGGAGGTGAACGCCGACAGCGTCAAGGCCATGAGGACCCAGCTGCTGCAGCTCATCCATACCCTCATCCAAAACAACACCACCACCAACCAACATTCGTGCTAGCTAGCTGTTGCTCTTTCACAACTTATTTGTAGTCTTCGTGTTCTTACTGATATTATATATATGGTTTTCTGTGAGCACAGCAAGAACAACATGTACAAATAGAACAGGTCTTGTGTAGTAATCTTTTTGCAGAATTTTGGGGTCCAAATACTCTTTACTGTTGGTTATGGTTAATGAAACAATGCTATTGTGCCTATTATTTGAGTATAAATGGTTGAATCAGTGTTGGAGCTCATAGCCTTATGTTCTGTGATCCATATAGAACAACAACAGCAACCAACAGTCCTAGCTATTGATTCATTCTGTGCTGCTCTTGAGAGCTTAATTGTCTCTGTGCTTGCGGTGATTGTTTTCCCCTGAGCTTGCAACAAGGACATGTAGACTATACTAGGTCTTGTGTAAGTAAGTAGTAATCCATTTTGCAGAATTCATCAGTTCAAATACTCTTTATTACTGCTGTTTATGGTTAATGCAACAATGCTACTGTGCTTATGCTTGCAAGTTACTTGAGTATATGGTTGAATCAGTGTTGGAGCTCATGGTCTTATCTTATGTTTTTGTGATCCACAGATTAAATTGGTACATTACCTAGTAATGTTAGATGAGCCGAGTCATTGGTATTTGCATTTGGTAAACTGCAGCAAGGAGGGCAGCTATCTGGCATCTGCCAGTCTACCTACCACTTCCGGACCTAACAGTCATACATGCATCCTTAACTATCTTCCTTTTCTCCTCTCCTTATCAGCCCTTCAACTCAACTTCCTTCTCACCCTTCGATTGCATCTACCAGTCTGCCTGTCACAGCACAAGACTTTGGGACTTGGGTATGTGAACTATGATTCTTCTTCCTTTCTCAATTTTTGCTTTGTACATGCACAAGAGGAAAACAAGTAAACATCTTGAAATAAAGCATTATTACTTCAGCATGTTCTGCATGTTTTGTTGCTTGGTCTCAACCAGGCTTCAAAATTCAGCTATAGATTGCATAAATTCACTTTTTTTTTCCATGCATGCTATTTTGTTCCAGTATCACTCTTCTCTTCTTTTTTTTTTGGTCAATTCCTCAGTTTTACATCTAGCTCACTATGAGTTTCCCTCTGTTCTCTTTTATTCATTCACCACGTACAGGTAGCAGCAGAGGGGAGCACATCCATGACTTGTGTTCATAAATTTTGTGTTATTCTACCTTCTTTCTTTGTCATTTCACTTTGGTACATAAACTGTGCTAAAAATTTCACCAGTGCGATATGCAAAGCCACAAGAAGGTTGCTGCTGTGAAGCCTGTGGCTTCCAGGCCTTCTTCCAGATTGAGGTCCTTCTCAATGCTCCAGGAAGACTCCACTGCTATTGATTCTCCTCGGGTTACTTCCCTGGAGGAGATTATATTAAGGCGTCCAAAGGCAACGCGATTCACACACCCATTGAGTAATTCATCGACAGAAATTGCTGCAACCAGAGTCAGTTCGACACGAAATTCAACTTCTCTGTTTCCTGGAAAGAAATTTCATTTTCTTTCTGACAGTTACATAATTTTGCACCTTCTTTTAAATGATGCTTTTTATAATTATACATCTGTCCATTAGATTATTTTGAACCTACCTTTGACATGATCATATGGTCATTTTCTAACAACATGCTGAACTTTTTAGCTAGAAGACAGTGGAACACATACAGCATACGATCAAAAGAAAGCAGATACAGGAAAGGGGGCCTGTTGGGACAATTTGACAGTGTCCCAGAGTGTCAGGAAGCCAAATGTCAGTGCGAAGAACAGTTTGTCCTACGATGGCTACAGCTGGAGGAAGTATGGGCAGAAGCAAGTGAAAGGGAGCGAGTTCCCACGGAGCTACTACAAGTGCACTCACCCAACATGCCCTGTCAAGAGAAAGGTGGAGATGACACCAGATGGCCGGATTGCTGAAATTGTATACAACGGTGAGCACAACCACCCCAAACCTCATCCTCCAAGAAAACCAACATTATCAACAAGTGTGGAGACTCTGGTTGCCACTAATGATGCTGGATTAGAAAACAAGTTAGAAGGATGTGACCAAGCTATTGGTTCTGATGCTGTTGTTGAAGCATTAAGAGGTGGCTGTCACTGCTTGGATGGATTTAGAAATGGTAATGAGATCAGTGACTGCAAGAAAAGGTATGCTTATGCTGTAATTTTCATTCAGAACTTACTAATGTTTTTTTGTGCCAAAAATGTGCAAGTGGTTGCTTAAAATATCAAGTAGCATATTATGATATTTACGTTACAGACCCACAGCCTCCTTGGAGGACACTCTTAGATGATTGCTGTGAAATTGTCGTGTGCCTAGGCTTTTCCGTTTTGGAGTGAGATTTCATGATGGTTCATGTAAGAGAATTCTGGCACAACCGCATAATATAATTAATTTAGGGTCACATTTGGTAGCTGAATATGTTCAGGAAAAGCAGTAATGTTGATAGCTGAATAGGTATTGATTGGCAATGAATTCATTCACTGTAAAGTTGACAATCTATGTCGTGAAATTCATGCACTTTGTAGGACCTTGCTGACTAATCTATTCAGAGGAAAAAAAAATCAGCAACATGAAAATAGCTGCCCTAGAATGCCTCATCCAAGAATTGTTCCATGCCACTGTATATCAAGGTTGAGGTAACTGCAAACTAGGAAGGACTGCCTTGTTAACTTACTGATATGAAAAAAAGAAAAAGAGATACAGATTTGTGTATATAAGTCCGCTCAAAATTCCATATGCTGAAGAACACATGCAGTCGTACTTGCGATTGTCTGTGCTTGTTTGGAGTTAGTACACTTGTTTAACCCCTGAAATGTAATTGTCGCTTCACCTTTTGTATTTTCTGTAAGAAAATTGTCAATCAGTGCTACATAGTATAGGTTTGTGTCATGTGTTGCTACGATGTTAAGTGCTTGGATGTGCATTGCAGGAGTAATTAGAGATGCAGCACGCGCGAGTACGTGGATGATCAGAGGGAAGGCATAATCTCGAGATCAATCTACTCATCTTGGAACAATACCAGTAGCATTGGCAGCAATTATTGGCATGTTAACGTGGTATACTCCTCAAACAAAACAAAAAGGGGAATAATGTCAGTGAACTGAGTGAGGTGTTAATAGGCAATTGCTAGGCCTCCGAACTAGTGTGCTGTCACTCTACTAGCTAGATTAGGCATAAATTACCAAATGATACTGTGACAAAACTGAAATGTAACCACTCCAGAATCTTGGTTTAACACATTGTTTATGTGCAAATTGGTTTTATCAAATGATACCGCTGGGAATTGTTGTTGGCAACTAATAAGTGAATGCTGCTCAAAGGAGTTACAAGAGGAGCAGGAAACTGGATTTGGAGAGAACTGCTGCTGCAGGGCAGGTTTGTATGCACGTTGTAACAAGAATTCCCGATGTAAGCAAAAGCAAATTTGTTAGAAACTACACGCAACTAAAATTATACGCACAAGAACAAGATTGTCCAGCAGAAATCAAATCCCATATATGGTGCATAAACAAATGAGCTAGGAGTACAGTAGGCATGATCAACACTGAGCATTCTTCTACGCAAGCGCACAATCCCACCGCAGCAACCAAAACGATACAAATGGCCCAAGGGGGTCCAAGCAGCGCAATGGTGAATTGGACCCATCCCACCTTCCGATTTTACTCAGCACCGTCGCCTGGATGCCTGGAAACAGATATTCTATGATCAGAAACAAATGGCCAGGCAAAAAGGGAAGGTGCAAAGAAGAAAGGCAATAGTTCCAACCTCCAAGAAGTCGTCAGATTGCGAGCTTTCCGGTCTAGCTGGACGTTTTCTAGAGCACTTGATGCTCGCAACACTTCTTCAGAGATATCATCAGCATCATATCTCCAGTTGTATTCATCCTTCCTTGCATTGGAAGCCGAAGACCCCCCTCTTCGGTCTGAATGTCCAAAGCGCTAGCTTTAGAGGAGCACTCTAGCATAAAATAAACAAACCGAGAAAAAAATTATAATTTACCTGACATCTGTGACGATGGCATTGGCCTGCGAGTTGCAAGGAAATGTTACCTGTGTTTTGAGGAAACAACAAATATCTGCAAATTGAATAGCTGAATAGTAGTAAGCTGTTACCTTCCCATAGGAGGCAAGCCTGTAACTGAAGAAGACGACGGTGGCCTCCTCGTGTTCCTATGTTCAGCATTTAGAGCCGGATCCGACTCGGAATTGATTATTCTCCTACCAGTACCAGCCATCCTTGTTTGAGACAAATTCTGCTCAATGTAGCAATTCAAGTAACCAAAATCAGGCAATATAAGCAAATAAAGATTAAAACTAAGATATGTAAAAATGCATTTTCTTTTAGAAGAGTAAGAGAAACAGAGAGTTTGGGGTTATGATAGGTTCTACACCCACCTCACTCTAGATTTTTCGTGGTTAAAAAATATGTAGCCTTGTGTGTATTATTTGTAGAAATTCCATAGAAAAGTATTGTATATCTGTATACAAGTATACATAGGTGCTCATTTCGTCTCATTTAATCAAGTGAATAAGTTTTAGCGATAATTATTTATCTATTGTATTTTATATTTTATACATAGTATAGCTAGTTGAAATCTATGCAACACAAGGACATTTTACTAGTATCACTAATAGAAGTGTTGATAGCTAATTCATGGGCTCAAGAACAGCGAAAGAAAAATGTGGATATCTTTACTTACTCTTATAAAAGAGAGTAGTGGTGGTGGTGAGTGGTGAATCTGCCACCCCTCCCACCACCAACTCTCTACTATTTGAAAAAGAAAAAGGTCAAGTAGGACCAAAGGGTCCACATGTCAACCACCTCCATTACCAATTCCTTACATTTTATTAAAAGAAAAAAGTATGCAGGAAATGATGGTAATAATGGGTTAATAATAATTTTCTTTAATTAAAATCCTGTTGCAACACAGGGATTTTAATCAAATCAAAATTCCATAAACAGAAAGATTTCCATATACATTTATATACTGTCTGCCTGAGACTCTGAGTTAGCAAGAGTACCTCATATTTGAGATATCCTTCAAGAACATCTAGAAGCATGGGACCACTTTCAGCACTCCTGCTCCCTTCAGCTCCGCTTTTGTTAGAAAAATCCTTTAATTCATTCTTCCAGAAGTCCTTTGGCTGATTTACAAATGCAACAGCCAACAATCAATAGCAGCATTAGCAGATGTTGATTTTGGACATATCCATCCAAGATTTATGAGATATGGCAAACTGTTACCAGATTACATTCAGGCAGATAAACTTTCATCGTGTGACTTAGCTGGGCCCACTCCAAGTATTCACTTACAAGTGCTGTTAATAACCTACCTGAGAGCAGTAGAAAATGTTCGACGTAAATCAATTATAACCGAAGAAGAAACTATGCAGCAGAAATGAAAGGCAAAGACTAACTAATCATCAGCAGGATAGAAAAAAGGTTCTTTCATAAGCGTAGAAGAGAAAGATGAAGCGAATAAAGATGCTACTTTGGCACAATGGTGGCATTTTGGCAAGCTGCAAATTCACAGAATGGTATGAAAACAAATCTCCAAAAAAGGAATCTAGAGAATCATACATATGAGATAAATTATTTTTGAAGCAGCATGGGAAACAATCTGAACTTCTGGGTAGAAAAGAAGGCAAACCTGATGGTGAAGCATGCAGCTGCTTAGCTCGGTCATTGCAGCTACCAAGCAAAGCGGGATTCCCACCATCATCATTCTCCACTACCCTATCCTCCTCTTCTATGGCCTCGAACACACTTGCTCTTAGCTCAGCCTACTCAAGCAAGAGTGCAAGACAAGATCACGCCTTATGGTAATAGGAGGGTTTTCGTATGTAATGTAATGTAATGGTTCTTGAAACTGAAGAGAGCACATGGCTTTATAACCTGGCTTCAACAGATGAGGAAAAGTAGAGCTATCCACTTCCTTCCTCAAGGATAATACTATTATCTAAATTTCGGACATAGATTTAACAAAAAAAATTAAATAGCAGATGTCTAGAATCTTGGCACACGAGGAATGGCATGTGTGTAGATCAACATTTTGCACTCTAATTGACAATGCAAACAAAAGTAGGGCAAGCGTGAGATCCCTTTTTGTTTAACAAATTGAAACCTAAATAGAGCAGTAGACTTTGTCAAGACGAGAAAATTCCTTCAACAAGTGCGGCGCATGGAAGTCGAAGGTGAGAGGAAGCAATAAACAGTGAAGAGAAGCAATTCCGGCGGGCCGGAGATTGAGATCCGCAAGTAGTGAGTCAGATCCGCAGAAAGGTGAGCAAGAGAAGAGAAGAAGAGGGATGGGGGATTTGTACCCTGATCTTGGCGAGGACGCCCTTCTTCTCGAGGGTGCGGGTGACGAGCGTCTTGAGCTCCATCATCTCCCGCGCGTAGTCGTCCATCCCCCCTTCCGCCTGCCTCTCTCTCTCTCTCTCTCTCGGAAAACGAGGGGAGGCGGCGCCGGAGCCAGAGAAGAGAGAGAGAGAGAGAGAGAGAGGGGGGCACTGCGGCTGCGTCCTGTCTTTGACAGACAGGTGGGCCCCCTCTCTCAATCGCATCTACTAGGGAGGGGGTCCTTGGGTTTCATTCCTGCTTCAACATTCATCTTCTTTTTCTTTTCAATTGTTTTCATTTTGGTTTCACATGAGCGTTAATACATTTTTCTCTTTTTTTTAAGGGGGCTCGAGTACATTTTAAAGAGAATCTGTTCTATGAGATATATCATACAAAAATATTTTTGTAGAAAGTAAAGATGCCAAAAATAACATGAAACTTATAGAAACTTCCATGTTGTGTAAGGAGGTTACATATTTTTTTAAAACTTCTAATTAGATAAATCAATCCTCTAAGGGTATTTTTGTTTAAATGGCTCAAAATATTATACAACCATCGACGAAGTCATCGATATATTGTAGAAAGAGACAATGTCGATGGCAAATCGTTAAACTGGGAAAGCTCGATAGCATGGAGTAAATTATCTCTACCTTTTAAGCAAATCGTTGAACTGGGAAAGCTCAATAGCATGGAGTAAATTATCTCTACCTTTTAAAACTAACGGAGTTATCATATAAGAGTGCCCAAGCCGAGTCAAAGAATTAAATCTAACATAAAAACAACTGAGCGTGATTGTTTTCTCATTTTGATTTTACACTAGCCGCGTTAAACATTTTTCTCTTTTTCATAAGGCTCAAGCTATTTCAATCGTGTTAAATGAAAATTCTTTTTGAAGATTAGTATATATAGGTTTATATAATTGTATTGTGCCTGCCAAACATACTTCCTCAGTTTGAATGAAAATATATAGTGCTACTTTTGGATATGATATTTGACTATTTATTTTACTCAGAAATTAATGCAATTTAGACAGTTTGATTATTTGATATTATCTACTTGATCATAGGGATAGATTATATATTTTAAGAAATAAACTTAAATATTTTAAAACAAGTGGTCTAATCAATACAGAAGAAATCTTTTAAGAATTTTTTTTGAAAACTTAGAGCAAATAATCGGTGACGATAATCTAGTGAAAACTTTCTTTCTCCAGATCGGACGGTAATCAATACCACTTCAGAACTTACAACCACACAAGGTCATATTGCGCGGGGGGATTGAAGTGAAGTGATATACTACGTCTTTCTACTCTCAAGTGAAGTGATCCGCCATTATTGGACAGAGATCCGCTGCAATCACCGCAAAACATATTGCCGCTTCCCAAGTCAGCCTGGTAACTACTACTGAAAGAGGCCACCGATCCCCTAGCCACGCACACATGCACTGTTTACATCCTTTTTTCTACTCCTGTTTTTGTAATACAAGCTCTCTCTCATCCGTTGTCCTTGCATTATCTTAGAACTTGAGAACCTGCTTTGGTTGGCTTCCATGTTTGCCGAGTGCCTTATCAAGAGCCAAATGGAAGTCACTGAAGGGCGTCAACTCCATCCTGTACGAAAACAATTCATTTCTCCCTCATATATGATAGGACCTACATTTGTTTCATTCTGTGTAATCCAACAGCAATTCAAGAAGAGAGTAGCATTACGTACTCGTATTTAAGTTTGCCTTCGTGCACCAGGTCCAACAGGTAGTCTATCATTGTTCTAGATTCCTCTGCCTTATCTGAACTCATCCACTTCTGTAGCCAGAATCCTCTTAGGGAAAGATCCTACTTAACAAAATAGCATTGTGTTAAATACTGTCTATGAAAACCATGCTAAGTAATTGACATAAACGACATGATACATGGTAGCACAAAGAAACGATTGGTCTTTCAAACTTCCATGCAGGGTTTCTTCTTTCGGAACTACATGATGTTTCAAAACTTTATGATATCACAGGTGATACTTTTGATGCAGAAACAAATTCTTGTGTTCACTGATCAGTCGTCTAACAAAGCCGCCCCTATGACTTGTGCTTATGAGACAAACGCCCCTGATTCTAATTCTAGACTAGTCTAGTATTACGATGCCAGAAGCTTCAAGCAGTAGATTGGTATAAACATTTAGAGTACACAACTGGAGTAAATTGCATATGAAATTAGAAACCCTGTCGACCACTGTTAAGGACCAAAGATCTGATGTACTAACCTTAAAAATGAAAGATGAAGTAGAAACAGTAACAGGTTTCTTGGACATTCCACCATATGTCACCATTGTGCCACCTTGCCTAAAGAGAGAGTTTATAAATATATGTGGAAGACAAAGACGGTTCTAATCAGAATTTTGTTCATGTTTAAAGCACTACCTTAAAAATTTCAGTATGACAGAAGCAGCATTTCCTCCAACACAATTCAACCCTAATGCAGGTTCTGGCAAAGCACCCTGATACCACAGTAAACAAAATAGCAGCAGTATAATGAAACAGTTGAGATTGTCCTGTTCCTTACTGTTAATTTTTTAGATAATTGTTTAGTGCGAGGCACTCCCATTAATTAAATGAAACAGCACTGTAACATTTAGCTGTGAAGCAGCAAAATAGCTTCCAGTAAAACTCATGACTAAGTTTAATTAGGAGCCCAAGCATTTCAAGTTTCTTTTTGTTTGATCAAAAGGGTGGGTACCCCTCCATTTCTATTAGCAGAAATGTAAAAGCGTCTACAAGGATCATCCATGTGTGGAAGCATTTCCATAATACAGGGGACTGGTTCAACAGTATCAGAGTGAGTAAATACAATTTACCACATTAGTTCATATATTTATTATGAAAAAGGGTGGACAAGTAGGTAGTTTGAGGTTGAATTAAGAAACGGAAATGCAGGCCTGTAGGGAGAAGTACCAATAAGCTTTTGATATTCTTGATGTCTAGCTGGCTTTCCGTAAACACATGATCTGCTCCAAGCTGTTTAAGTTTGTCCTTGGCCTCTTGTGAACCAGGCCTATAGAACAAATTATGGAGATGCTAGCGTAGTCATCATCAATTGGGTAGCTTGGATGCAGAATGCGTTGATGTAGTGTAGGTAGGCATACATACCTGTCCCTTATGATGTTGATGGTGTGAAGACCATGCAGTTTGGCGAGCTGAATGACGCACTGGCCGACAATGCTGGTAGCGCCATTCTGGACAAGAGTGTCACCTGAAACAAACGTATCCAGGGCTAGGGGTGAGACTTAATTACAGGGAAAGAAAAGAGAAGAAAGCAGTGACAGGAGACCAGGGGCGAGGTTAACGAAGTCGCAGAGCATCCTGAGCGCGGTGAGTGGGTTGACGGTGACGGTGGCGACGTATTGGGGAGGCACATCGGAGCGAACCCTGTGCCAGGCGGTGGCTGGGTTGACGATGTAGGTCTGCCAGGTGCCCAAGGAGGGCGGAGAAGGGATGACCCAGTCGCCGGGGGAGAGGAGCCGGGAATCGACGGCGCCGCCGAGGGCGTGGACCTGGCCGACCCCCTCGTAGCCTGCGACAGCGGCAGGGAGGGGAGGGCGAACAGGGTAGACGCCCTCCACGCGGTTGAGGTCGGAGGGGTTGATGGGGGCGGCCAGCATCCGCACGCACACATCGCGCTCGCCGATCTCCGCCGCCGGCAGCTCAGCCACCCTAAGGACTTTGTCAGGCGGACCGTGCTGGTCGTAGAGTACGGCAGTGGCGGGTGGGGACGTCGAGGTAGAGGTGGAGAGGCGCCTCGCCCTCGCCGTCGTCGTTAGTCGCTTCGCCGCCACCGGCAGCAAGCGAGCTGCCGCTGCCATCCCTCCACGCCGAGTGCTCTAGAAAGTACTAGCAACAACAAGACAAGATGAAGCCCATAACATTTTGTTATGCAAGTAACGAATAAGTTCACTTTAGATCCCAATTTTTGTCGCTGAGTCTTCCTAGAACGCTCATAACCGGATACAACGCATCCCCAACTTATAAAACCAATGCAAATAAGGTCCATTGACAGTATTGTCCCTGGTTTTAGCTGATATGGCGCCCATGTGTCTCTTTTAACTAGGTCTTTATCACACGTGGCATTGAGGTGACGCTTACGTGTCAGTTTGATCTAAAAAGAAAAATTAAAGGAGCATATGGGCCCTGTATGTTTTGTTTTAATTTGTTAGTTTTCAATTTTGCTCATTTTATTTTTTTAAAGATCAAACTGCCATGTCAATGTTACCTAGGATGAATACTTAGTCATAGGAGCCATATAGGCGCCATATCAGCCAAAACCGGGGACAATAGTGCCGAGGGATCTCGCTTGCACTGGTTTTGTACGTTGGGGATGTGTTGTATTCGGTTTTGAGGTCCAGGGACGAATTACAGACTTGGCAACAATTTTTGAGGGACTTAAAGTAAACTTATTCATGCAAGTAACATGGGAGAGCAAAGCCCAATTTCAGGCCTACCAATTCGTTCATAGACCGCAAATAAGCAGATACAACATCCCAACTTACGAAAACGAGTGCAAACAAGGTCTCTCAACAGTATTGTCCCTGGTTTTTGCTAGCATGGTACCTATATGGCTCCTTTAACTAGGTCTTCATCCCACGTGGCATCGACGTGACGCTTACGTGGTAGTTTGACCTAAAAAGAAAAATTAAAAGAGAAAAATTGAAGACTAACAAATTAAAACAAAACATGCAGAACCCATATGTCAGTCAAACAAGTAAATAAAAAATAGTTAGACCCACCTAAAGCTCATCAGTCTCAGCCGCAGAGACCGCCGCATCTGGTCTTGATTCCTCCTTTCCCTTCTACCGCCACCGTGGCCACCGTACTCCCCACCTTCAGTGGAGGTGGAGCCCTCCTCCTCCTCATCCTTGCTAGAGCTCCAGGCGAAGTCTGACAATGAGCTGTCCCATCCTCCTCCTCCTTCCTCCACGTTGTCGTCGTCATGGCAGTGTACACGGCGCACGCGTCTGGTGCTCCGCAACGTGCGCCAGAGGTAGCACGGCATCCCCACCATCGCGTGGCAGCAGCAAGAGCACGCCGCCATGGCCATCTTGTAGGCGCTCTTGAGCATGCACTTGCCATCGAGCTCCTCCCAAGAGCAACTCTGATGTTGCCGAGACCACCTCCACCGCGCGGAGAGGGAGGAGGTCAAGGACAACACGCAAACTCGAGGTCAACGAAGAGGACTTCAACTCCAACTCCTGCTCCGCCGCCGCCACCGCCGATGCCGCCAACACTGTGGCAACCTCACTCACCTCCGCCGGCCATGTCATCCGTGTCTACTTCTATGACATCCTGGCCTAATTAGGACAAAGCCTATGTGGCCCATGAGAGCTATGTGCGCATGTTTAATACCATGAGAGCTATGTGCGCTAGTTTAGCAAGGGTGGAACTAACTTATAAGGCCTCTTCCCTCGAACCATATCACTCCAGGGTTAACCCTTTTACACGAAGCGAGGACGAAAGTGTAAGTGGAGTGGTATGTGTAAGTGGACCCGCCCGTCGGATGGGCTGGCTATGCGGTTCTGGAGGAAGGACCATTACATCTTCCGCCTCGAAGCAGCGAACGCCTACACGACACGTTGCCGGCCTCCCTGCGCGCCACGGCGAACGGCGTCGCCATGCTCGTCGACAATGCCTTGTCAATAAGTTAATTAGTACTTGAATTTGTACTGAAATTATATTCTCCGGGAAAAAAGACTTTGAATTTGTACTGAAATTATATTATCTCGAATAATCCGTGTAAATGGTGTGATCAAATTGCAATGCATGACATCCGATGAGAAGAATAATCCATGTAAATGGTGTGATCAAATTGCACGCCTTTTTGACGGCATCTTTTTTTAGGGTTTTAATATGTTGTTCTTGATCATCGATCATCTAGTGGCATTTGCTCAGGAACGTGGTACGCGTTATGCTTCATCGACCACCTCTGTGCCCTCAGCCTGGGCAAACTCATCCTGTTCCTTGTCCTCTCCTACGTTAGTAAGTTGCGGCGGTCACTACTAGCGTTTTCTCTTTGAATTCATTCAAATTTCAAAGAGAGGGGGAAAAAAATCTCGTCTTAATTAATTTCTTCTAGCTAAAGATAAAAAAGGCCTAAGATTGTTTAATAAGGCCTATTCAATAAAATGTTTAATAAGGCTTAAGATTGTTTGGAGAAAGATAAAAATACCAATAATAAAAACGGAAGTCAAGTTTACCAATATAGCATGTCTTACGGGCACTCGGCGACTCACCGTTGCAGACTGCTGTCGAGGTCTCGAGGACGGAGGCGGCGAGGGCGCGAGGCGTGCAGGCGGCCGCCGGGCGCGAGGTGCGGTCGTGCGGAGACGCGGAGGCGGCGAGCCGGCGTCCGGCGACTCGGCGAAGCGGCGAGGGCCGAGGAGGCGCGAGGCGCGGAGCCGGCTATGGCCTGTGGGCGGCCGGCGACCGGGCGACGGCGAGGCGCACCGCGCGCGCGCGCGCAGACGGCTGGTGGGCTGGCCGGCTGGGCAGCGCGACCGGCGGGCGGCGACGTCGCGACAGCGAGGACGGGCGAGGCGCGTGGGCAGGCGGCCGGGATGGCGCGTGCGGCGGCTGGCGACGCGTGGGCGTGGCGGCTGGGATGGGAAGGGGAGGGAGGTGAGGAGATGAGATAGGGTTAGAGAGGAATTGGGCCTTTTTTTTCTATTGGGCCAACGGGCCTGAAATGTTGGGTGGTGGGAGGGTTCAGTTTGGGCTTCTTTTGAGTTTTGAATAGATATAAGTATTTTTCCTTTTTTTTCTATATATACATATGGAATAATATAACTTCATATATGTACTTTTTTTTTCCAAAATCTTGGGTATTCATTTGAATACCCATGAATTAAAGTGGGCCCGCCCCTGTATCAGTCTTATGCCTGTGCACATCATGTCCTAACCAACGTCTAACTTGCTAAACTTGGCCATGTCGTGTTCTTTTGGTCTTGGTTCACACACATCAAACAAATTCATACATCCAAATGAGTGTTTTACAAGTTCGTATACTAAATTGCACCCACTTGACAAGTTTACGTACCGTCAATACAATTTACTCTTTTTTTCCTCTACTCACTATACTAGACTACTATAAACTCAAGTCAAGCTCATTACTGTTCACTGGCACACATTGCGCTGCATTGCATCTTATTAAGATGATGGATCGCATACTAGGTTCAAACACAACAAGGTCTGTACGATACATTACATATTTACATGACATAATCTTAATCTTGGCCTACGCACGCAAAGCAAGCAACAATATATGTCCCTCTCTTTTATTGAAGATCATCATCAGGGTCTTCAGAACATATCCGTGCGGTTATTTGTTACTAGTCCCTTCTTCTCCATGTCATCCTTGGAAAATAGTGGGATCTCCAACTTTGGAGGCGCCTACAATGCATTATTGATTTCATTCACACACACACACACATTCTACATTAGGATCTCATCATCCAAATTAAACACTCATGTATAGCAGCAGGATATAGCTAGTTACGTTACCGTGGCGCGTATAAGAGGCCAATTTATACCACGGAAAAAGGGATGTCCTTTTATCTCATTGGCTCCCTCGTAGGACCCTAGCCTGTTGGCAGGATCCCTATGTAGCAACCTATACATTAGCTGCCTCGCCGCTAGGCTGACCTGAAAACTCAAACCGATTTAACTTCTCCAACTTAAAAAAAATGACGCTTGATTTACTTACCGATATACTAGCAGGAAATCTGATATCCTTGTGCAAGATATTAGCAAATGTCCGTTGCCTCGTTTTTCCTCTAAAAGGTGTATAACCATACAACATTTCATATAGAAGAATCCCTGAATCAACAAATAGATTCATTACCACCACCTCATAACCATAACCATGTCTGATACAGTAATGTAACCATGCATGATATGATAATGGTGTTCTAAACTATTTTCACCTTTTAATTTTCAATACTTTATTTATTCACAGTAATTGAATAGACTACAAGGACTGTCTAACAAGATAACTATATTGTTGGTGGAAGAATTACCTAGAGCCCACCAATCAACAGCGCTTGTATGGCCAGCTCCTGTAATAATCTCCTGCAAACAGACAAGGATGCACAGACTCAGTACCAAAGATGAAATATTGGGAATGAATAAAAGCTTGCCAAACAGTATAGAACAGGTAAGTTAGAAGACCATATGCACGTACAGGCGCAATGTACTCCTCCGTGCCAACAAATGAATTGGATGCTCGCATAGGTTCAGCAAAAAATATGGGGTAACTCCCGTTTTTTCTCCCTTTTTTCTCATCAGCATCTTCGGGAAGAAAGACCTACCAAATAACATAAAAATACTTATTGTAACTTGGGATGATAATGAACTTATTGACATACATGCTGAAGTGTACGATAGATTGAAAACAATATTACACTAGTATAATAATATGTGCTATCCCTTGAGGATTAGTATACTGTTGTTAAAAAAAAAAAACTTACCACACGATGAGCAAAGCATGTTTAATGAGTAAAATGCAACGCTAGTACCGCAACTTGTGAGGTGGGTGCAATTTAGTCACCCATATTGTAAAATGCTCAAACAAGCCACTCATCTTGTTTTAGGGGGTGCAAAGCACATAAAACATGTGCCTTGTGGGTTGTTCGCAATGAAGTTATGCTCTATGTTAATTTGTTTTGCAAACATGGTCACATGATCCATAAATAAGAGAACGTGCAATACCACCAGTAGTAAAATCCAATTAAAGATGAATTTTGTTATTGATTGACAAGCACAATATGGTCGTGTTCATTGACAGCGGGAGTAGTAGCATATACATGGAAAAAAATGAGTATTAGTTTGTAACTTTAATGCTTGCCTTGCCAAATGGCTAAAAAAAGCATGATGTTAGGTCAATATGACCTCCAATTCAAAAACAAATAATCCATGTGACAATGTATTTGGTAAGATTTGCACCATCGAAGCAAGATGAGTGACTTATTTGTGCAATTTGCAAGATGAGTGACTAAACTGCACCCTCCTTGCAAGCAGTGATACTGCAAGTGAATTTTACTACTCATATTTAAATCAAATGTGGTTCATTTTCTCATTAGCGCATTATAATTGTGACGTTTTATGATTCTTTTTGGAAGAGAAAGAGGTTCATGAATTAATATTACTTTTATGAGAAGAGATTTATCAAATTATTACCTGCGGTCTGCAAGATGTTAGACAAGACAAATCGAAGTCTGTAAGGGAGATGTGCCCATCTCTATGAAGTAAGATATTCTCTGGTTTTAAGTCTCGGTATATTATACCTGAAGACAAAGAAGGAAATAATACACATTTAGAAGTAGTGTCCTCCCCCTGTTTTAAATTACTCGTCATTTTAGGTTTGTCCTAAGTCAAACATTTTAATATTTGACATAATAAGATTGATATTTTTTAGATCCACCATGACAAATACTTTCATACTATATACTCCCTCTGTCCCTAAATATTTGACACCGTTGACTTTTTTAAACATGTTTGACTATTCGTTTTATTCAAATTTTTTTTGTGAAATATGTAAAACTATATGTATACATAAAAGTAGTTAACAATGAATCAAATGATAGGAAAAGAATTAATAATTATTTAAATTTTTTTGAATAAGACAAACAGTTAAACATGCTTAAAAAAGTCAACGGCGTTAAATATTTAGGGACAGAGGGAGTAATTCACATGTTAAACTACATAGATTTCTAAAAAAATAGCCAAAGATAAACATATTTGATTTAGGACAAATCTACACGACTAGTAATTTGAAATGGAGGGAGTAACTATTTTCCAACTAAATATCATGAATTGTCAAAAAGAGACAAGACATCTATTACCCACCAAGTAAATGCATGGATTTCTTGTGAGGATTCAACTGTATTGAAGAAGTGCTGTTATGGTTCAATATTTATGTATGGCATGCAGTCAAAGTGGATAAATTATGAGTATTAAGGCCATGTTCTTTTTATGTAAAGTTGATAGGCATCCCTAGATATATTGATGATCATTGAAATAAGAGAATTTTTAATGCATGCAAGTTATCAACAATGATGTATATGTACCTTGGCAATGTAGGTATTCTAGTGCAACAACCACTTCGGCAGCATAGAACCTGTGAACAATGAAATAGTATTATACAAATGCTTATTGTCTTCTCATACAATAATTGAATCAAACAAAATCACAACAGATCAAAGTAGCATGTCTTTGCCACAATGATTAGCACATATGCTGCCAACGTGTGTTCAAAACAAAGCCACACACATCATCCCATCAGAACTAAGCGAAAACAATAGTTTAAATGATGACCTGACTGCATCTTCATGTAGAACCTTCAGAGGTTGATTATCTAGAAGCACAAAGAGCTCACCACCCGGGCAGTAGTCAGTAATGAGGCATATATGCGTTTTTGTCTGCCATATATTGAAAAGGAAAATTCATAAGAAAATACCACATAAAACTGATGTACTGCAAAAAGATTTCTATAGCTATGTTGGGGTATTAAGACTAGATAATAGGGATAGCTTCCACATTATAGAGTGAAATGGAAATGATTATACATAAATAGGACATCTTAGCTAGATTATTGATAGAGCAAACCTGAAATGATGCATATAATGTTGGAAGGAATGGGTGATCTAATAGATCAAGGATTTGGCGTTCAGCAGTAGCTCTGTGAACCTAGAGACATTATAATGTACTCAGAGATATAATGCAATAGACATAACTAGAAGTATAAACAATGTCTTTTATTCACAAAAAATGTATACATTTTAAAAGGTGAAACAAGCATCAAACCTTATTGCGGTTAAGCATGATGCTTTTATCCATAGCTTTCATGGCAAAGTATTCTCCTGTATTCAACAACTCTACCAAGTGTACACTTCAATTCCAATCATAATACACATTGTTGAAACAACAATTGTAAAATGAGTCAAATGTATTAGCAATAAAAGGCAACAATTCAATGTTTATCCAATTTAACCAAACCATGAAATGATTTACCTTCCAGTGTCACCAGATCCTAATGGTTTTACTGGCCTAAAATGTTTTAAACCAATACTTTCACCACTCTCGAGAACCTACAAGAGATATTAGTTATTAATATTCTGTAAAGGCTATTGTATTATACATCAGTATAAATCTCCTGGCTGTGATGGCATATAATATAGTAGGCAAATAACTAGTGTTCTATAAAGGCTGTTGTATTCTACAACAGAATAGTGATGAGATTAAAATGACACTTTTAAAACATAGAGGTTGACATGTAAATCACTCTCCCATGTTTGTCTAGATAATGATATATAACTCTTCCAAGTTTGTCCAGATAATGACACTTACAACCCCATTGTTTGGCTTATCTACGGAATAAGCCAAACGACATATTTGCAAATGAAAAGTAATTTGTAAATGAAGCTTTTATATACATGTTCTTAGTGATCTAAAAGCAAAAGCTGAAAAATAAACTTCGATGAAAAAACCTCAAAATCGGCTTCGAATTTAAGGTTGAAAATTCAAATTTTGGCTGATAAGCATAAGCGAAAAGATGAGCCTGCTATATGCAATAACCTTAAAGTGATGTTTGCGTAGCGAATTCAGTGAACTATAGTCAAATCATACCTTTTGGATGGCTCTCCATGATGCAGTATCCTTCATATGTGGATTTGGCAGGACTACTTTTGAGTGGTTAGCCCATAGATCTTTCGGTCTCTGAATGTGAGCATGGGTTACTGTTAGAACTGCAAGCACATATATGATGAATCAAAGAGTGATGCTTTAATCTGACCAAATTAGCATCCGGGAGTTCCTTTGCAGCCTCATCGATATTATCTGCGGTTTTCTTAACCTGGCACATAAACATTCCAGTTTATTTTTCCAACAAACTATGCTTTTATGCTTTCATAAAGTTGAAGGTCCATAGCAAAGTTTAGTAAACATTGAACTGTTTAGTTCATCCGGACCAATGCAACAACTTTTGTTTATCCGGACCAATGCAACAACTCGTTTACTCATGCAGTGTTTCTAGGCTTGCCTTGTCCAAATTTGGTGCAATTAGTCACTAATATTCACAAACAATTTGGCAGGATTGACACAGTAATCTAATGTGAGAAATTTTAATCAAAATTCACTCACTCATGGAGACATAAAAGGGTAAATTATGAGGAAAAATGAAACAACGTGTTAAAAAATGGAAAAGATAAGAGAAAACTATTAATTATTTCCAGAAGAGAATGCTAGTCACGTAGATTAGATTTTATAATATGTGAGATGTATCACAGGTTCTGTAGCACTAGTTTTGACTTTCGGGTATAGAGCATTTTTGCAATTCCAGTTAGGCTGAGTTTTTTTCTCTATGTTCCCAACCCATCTCTCTTGTATTCCATGCCCACGTTATTCAAATTGTTAAACAGTGCGTTTTTTGCAAAAAGTTTCTATACGAATGTTGCTTTAAAAAAATCATATTGATCCATTTTTGAAAAGAAATTGGCTAATACTTAATTAATAATGTGCTAATGGACCGCTCCGTTTCCCGTGCGCAACAGCTGTGTTTCCAACTCTTGCAAATGAACATAGCCTTCGTTCTTAATAAAACTCCAGAAGCATCAGACTACAAAACATAACATGACAATGGGACTGCCCATATCTATTTGTGTTGCTTTTGTCAGTTGCACAAATATGATTTTTCAAGATACAAACCAGCACGACTCCCTCTTTTGCAGCATCATCCTGAACATGCTCAGTTCCATCCAATTGAACCCCAATAAAGTACTGAACATCACCCTGATCCACAGGCAAATTGGACTCATGTCAAATTACATACAAAAGAATTGTAGACAAATATGTTGAATAACTCAGCAGAAACTTTTCCCATGTCTGTCACTATAGTACCTTTTGATCACGCATTGGTTGCAAGTGAAAGAGGTTCCAAAACTTTTTACCTGTCCAAGTAATGAAGTAATGAAGGGAAGGTAACTTTACTGTGAAAAGACATATCCTATCTTATTATAAAATTGATGTCCACTAACTCTTAAAATACAACATGCAAGTGTGCCACATTATCACTCACAAGTAATTATCATCTAGAGTATTTTAAACCACATACAAGTGTACCGCATCATCACCCAATAGCAATTATTATCTAGAGTATTTTAAATATCATGCAAACATGCCATATCATTTACAATTTTGTTATATTTTTAGAACTCAATATGCAAGCAATGTCAAATCATTATCTCCACATCATTTTCACCTTATTTAAATATATACGTCTACCATTTTCTATAATGTATAGCATGTATTCATATACATATCCCGCAACAAAGCGCGGGGTATCAACTACCTATTATATTTATAAGTTGAGAACAAAAACATGCAGACAAGTGACGAGTAGCCTACCACTTTTTGTATAATTTATGAGCTGAACTGTGACCTCTGCCTGGTTATCTATGGCATCTCTTATCTTCCTAACTGTTGCACGATCAGTTTCAGGGCCTTGAAGAAACCTGCACAAAGGGCAGAAGAAAGCACCAGGCAAGTTGTTCACTAGTATTTTACATGAAAAGCTAACTTATACCGTTAAAGTGCAAAAATTTTACAAAAGCCTGAAATTTTCTATAAAATTTAAAAACCTTCCAGTAAATTGTGCAGCAAAAGGGGCAAGATGGGATCATCATTACCTGCAGTTTCTCCCTAATATTTCTTCACGGTTGTATTCTGTCAATTGCAGAAAGCTATCGGATGCAAATATCTGAAATATGAACCAAAACATACATTCATGAAAATTTAATATCCATATTAATAAAAAGAACAGGTGCGGTGTAAGAGGTAAAAGAGATTCCATATGGATCTTACAATGGGATTATCAGGCAACCTTGGATCTGTGATGACAAAATTCTTCTCAATACGTTCAAGTGTAGTAGCCAAGTCTATACCCCTCCTCATTTCTTTCCTCCTAAACTCATCTTCAAAGCTCTCAGGTCTTTCATCATCACTATCGATCAGTGGATCTTCATCTCTAGGTTTCAGCATGTTCTTCTCTACACTTCCATGGCCCATACCAAGAAAACTGCATGTACAAATTAAGTAAGACAAACAAGATAAATGCAAACAACATGTTATATAATTTGACTTGTATGCATACCCCATAAATGCACGCAGACCAGATTTTCTAGTTCTATTCACTTGATCAGGTACTTCATTGATCTTCTGAAGCGAGCTCCTTGTTCCGCTACGAGAATTTCGGCGAGATCCACTTTCAGAGCTTCTCTTACTAGGAACTTCGCTCATTGACATGCTTAGGGATTCTTGTGATTTTCTTTTTAAGGTGTTATTGCTTGATTCTGACAATGAGCGTGGATTTTTGAGAGCCAACAAGAGCTCAGACACTGAGCTACGGGCGTGATCCTTCTGTCGAGCTGTAAATATTAATTGTTGATTTTTTTCTCTTTTTTAGTTTGAAACCAAAAGTTGTAAATTTCCAAGACCTTATGGATAAAACCCTTTTGTAGCAGAAGATAAACATTTAGTAGTACCATCGTATTTGATGAGTGATTCTGAAAGTCCATTTGGACGAACAACAGTATCCTTTTTCCCTTCAGTGTATTTACTAACTTCCACTTGCATCCTGGAATAACAATGCAAACAGCCAAATAAAAATATGGTGCTGAAATGTAATAATCTGTTTATGTGATGTATGTAATTAACGTGATGGGAAAATAGCTGACCCGATGAACTTGAGGAGCCTGCCGTCCTCATCCTTGATAGGGGCAATGGTTAAGAGGTTCCAGAATGGCGTGCCGTCCTTCTTGTAGTTGAGGATGCGGCCACAATAGTTGGAGCCATTTGCGAGGGATTGCCTGATCTTGTCAATCTCATGGGGGTCGGTGCCAGAGCCTTGAAGGAAGCGGCTGCACACACAATTGATTATTAATTGAATAATTGGATTGATGTGTTTATGTGTGTGTGTGTGAGGATCGAACCAGTTCCTGCCGACAACCTCCTTGGAGGTATAGCCGGTCATGTTGAAGAAGCCAGCGCTGGCGTACATGATGGGGTGGTTGGGGTGGGTGGCATCAGACACCACAAACGTCTGTTGGAACACTGATAGTGCCGCCCGTAGCTCCTCCGACACCCGTGGGATGGCGGCGGCGCTCTGCTGTTGCTGTGGGTTGTCCTCAGAGCTGGTGCGTGCAGAGCCAGAGGAGGGTCGTGCGGAGACGCCCTGGGGGAGGCCTGTGTGGTGGTCGGTCTGGAGGACGAGGCCCCACTCTGCTGCCCGCTGCTGTGCCACCACATTATCCTCTTCCCTGTCGGGAATAGCAAGGAAGGGGGAGGCGGACTTGGGGGCGGCAGCAGCAGTGCGGAAGGAGGAAGCGGATGAGGGGTTGAACACCTCGAGTGATCCCCGGGAGTCACGGGGCAGCTGGTAACCCCTCTGCTGCTGCTGCTCCTTTCTCTCCACGCCACCATGGCCTCCTTCTGTGCCTGCAACAGTATATCATTTTGTTTTTCCTTTAAAAAAAACTTGTGCAACTTTTACTAATGCTTCACTATGAAATTCAATCTACTATCAAGCATGGGAATAATGAATACATAAGGAGTACTGAAATCATTCAATAATAGTTTGATAGAGATAAGTTAGCACCGAGCATTATTATAGAATGACGATTTTATCATATGCTCTGTAACTATGAGTCTACAATAAGGCATTAGTAAAAAAAAAATCAGTGCACTAGAATCTTCTCCTGCAATGATACATTCCCCTCTTCATAACAGCTACCATAACCCCCTTTCAAATTGCCTTGGGTGTGCCCGCATCTATAACTATACTTTCTATGTAGTTGATGCCCACTAATTCCTAAAACTCAACATGCAAGTGTGCCACATCATCACCAACTAGCAATTATTATCTAGAGTATTTTAAATCACATGCAAGCGTGCCACATTATCACCCACTGGTAATTATTATCTAGAGTATTTTAAATATCATCAAACATGACATATCATTTATAATTAATTTTATTGTATTTTTAGAACTCAATACGCAAGCAATGTCGAATCATTACCTCCACACCATTTTTACATTATTTAGACATATACATCTATCATTTCTATAATGTATAACATGCAATCATCCATATATCCCGCAGCAAAGCGCGAGGTATCAACTAGTTGACATTATAAGTAGGGGCAATTGCTTATTTGAACCTGTTTTGAACTCTAACTACCAATTTGACCCTACTTTTTAGGGTTTGCTTATTTGATCCTCCTTTTCAAAATTGAAGACACGGTATGACCCTATTCCGTTAAGGGCGTCTAACGGTGTTAACTGAAGCACAAAATGTCTCTTCTGCCCTTACTCATTTGACCCTATTACATGTGGGACCCACCCGTCAGTTCTATCTTCTCCAATCCTCTCTTCTCTCTTCTCCTCTCCTCCAAGGATCCACCATAGGGAGAGGCAGCAAAAGGCGAGACGTCGAGCCGGCGCCGGCCCTGGTGACGACGACGACGACGACGAGGAGTGGCGGCTGCAAGTTCTTCTCCTCTCCTCCACGGATCCACCACAGGGAGAGGCGGCGAAAGTCGAGACGGCGAGCCGGCGCCGGCCCTGGTGACGACGACGACGAGGAGTGGCGGCGGCAAGTCCGGGCGGTGGATCTCGAGCTGCGGTCGGCGAATCCGGCGTTGCCGCTGCCACCTCCTCCCTCCATTCGAGCGCCTGCGCCCGCGTTGGCCACGCCATCGGCCTGCTCTGCTTGGCCTGGACAACGAGCTCCCCCTCGCCGGCGGGCTGGAAGCAGCAGGGGTGGACTTCCTATGGGTTGAAACTCCGCCGGCGCCGCCGCAGATCTGCGCTCGGCGCAGCCGCCCTCCCTCTACAAGTTGACGGCGGCGCGGATCCCCTTCCTCCACGGCCGGCCGCCGCCGCCGGTGCTCCCTCCCTCCACCAGCGGCACAGCCGTGGATCCGTGCTCGGCGCAGCCGCCCTCCCACCGCGAGTTGACACCGAAGTGGATCCCATCCCTCCACGGCCCCCCGCCGCCGCCGGTGCTCCCCTCTCCATCAGCCGGCGCTGCCGCTGATCCACGTCGGCATAGCCGCCCTCCCTCCGCAAGTTGGCGCCGGCGTGGATCCCCTCCCTCCATGGCCCGCCGTTGCCGCCGGTGGTCCCTCCCTCCACCAGCCGGCTCTGCCGCTTACCTTCCCCGCCACAGCTCCCTCGCCGGAGAGAGAAGGGATATGATAGAGAGAGAGAGACCGGGAGAGAAAAGGGTTAGATGAGGATAGAGTTGGAGGGTATTTTAGTCATTATGAAATGTGATTTTTATTTTTCCTCTTTTTTAAAATGAACTCTTAACGGTGTTGTAGAAACAGGTCAGACGGAGTGTTCATTTTCGAAAAGCAGGCAAATAAGCAAACTAGAAAAAATAGAGTCAAATTGGTAGTTAGGCTTCAAAACAAAGTCAAATAAACAATTGTCCCTTATAATTATCGCCACTCTCTCTCTCCCTAACCAAACACCTAAATAAAGTTTTAAGTATTCACTAAACCATTTCACATATGCTACCATCTCATATATAATCATTGTCTTAGCTTTTTTACGTAGCTGGAATTATATAGTTCAAATCATCTTATCTGTAACATCTTCAAATCTTCACAGTCTCCAGAATATATTCCATGTATGCCTCTATTTCATTGGAATCTTGCAAGATGGATTGGCTCTGGTGAAACCGCAATGGACGTGCCGGCCTGAGCTTATCCATTTGTACATGTCAAAATCGCATATTCTTTTAATAGAAAAATCCCTTTACATCTCCAATTTTCATCAAGTCTAACATTTATTCATAAACTTCAAAACCAGACATTATTCATCCCTCAACCATTTACTTTTCATCTTTTGACCGATTCAAATAGGTTAAAATATATATTAATTATAAAAGTTAGTAAATGATTGAGAAAAAATATAAAAAAAATGATGTACATACTTTTCAAAAGAAAACGGTATTAAAAACTAAGGGATAAATAGTATCCAATTTTGAAGTTTAGGGATGAATTTTTATTTTGACGAAAGTTGACATGTAAAATGGACTCGTCTCTCTTTTTTTCCTTACTTTCAAATGATTATGAGTCATTCATTGCTTCCTATCCAATGAATCTGATTCTATTACACTGCATACCTTAGAAATTTAATTTGAAAAAAGTAGTTGGAATATATTTGAATTCTATGATAAATTCGCACATCATGTATCGTGTTTAAATAGATGAATCCGTAAAGCTACTTTAGCAAATTATCAAGTATAAAATACCCAAAGAATAGGAGTCTATAATTAAATAGATTTGAATTGTATTGCTTAATAAGTACTAGATTATCCTATTTAAGCCAAGTAAAAAAAAGTAGAGATGGGAGAGAAAATCTACCAGCATCTACATATACATATACAGTGGACACTGCTTAGGTCTGGTTAATATTAATTAGTTTATCAAAACCTCACGCGAAGTTAGGTCATGATTTTGATTTTGAGCACATGGGGATCGATCATTATTGTTCACTTATCTCCTAGGCACGGTATGTTAAGATATAGTAATATGGTACTCCACTACAGTAGGAGTACTACAATTTAATTAGTTGGAACCTTAATAAGAAGTAATAGCAGGTACAATAGAAAGACTATTAACCAGCTGCAAACATATTTTAATGAGATAAAAGATAAGAGAGAAGAGCAGTGGGCTACAGATCTGTAGCCAGCTGCAGCACGGACTCCAAGACGCAATGTGTGTATAATAGATGGGACCATATATTGATAGTATAGTAAGCAACTATTGTATGGATTGGCTATAGATGAAGTGGAGCCAATAGTGAGCTATACTATTAAACTTGCTCTAAGAGCAAGTTTAATAGTGTAGCCAACTACTAACTCCAATTCATCTATAGTCAATCTAATAGCTCATTTATACAATAGTTATATACTACATTATTAATATCTAGTCCCACCTGTCATACACACACTGCGTCTTGGAGTCCGTGCTACAGTTGGCTACAAATCTGTAGCCCGCTGCTATTCTTTCTCCTTATTTATCTGCTTAAAATATGTTTGCAGCTGGCTTATAGCCTGCTATTGTACCTGCTCTAAGGGCACCCGTAATGGTTATCTATAGGCTCTCTACAAGAGATCCATGTCAGCATATTTTCCTACTTGAAAGAGATTAAATGAAGAGAGAGAGCAAAACTATCTACTAACCTGGAGATACTCTACAGAGAAAAACGAGGCAATGTATTAGAGAGCTATAGATACCCATGTAGACATACTATTGAGGTGGTTTGCTATTAATCTAGTCTATTGTTGAGATGTATATGTTTTATAGAGAGCAACTTACTTTACCATTACGTGTACTCTAATATACTCCCTCTGTCCCAAAAAAGACAAACTCATCATGTCCAGATTCAAACTCATGGTTTGTCTTTTTTTTTTTTTTTTTTTTTTTTTTTTTTTTTTTTTTTTTTTTACGGAGGGCATACAGTTGTTGAGTCCTCGTTCCTAGGAGTAGTATATACGGTATTGATTGATGCCACCAAATAGCAGACAAGAGGCAAGCATGACAAGTTTTCGTCTCGCCAAGCTAGGCATGAATGCAGTTAATTAATTAGTTAATTAATCTCTGGCTGTCATCACTTCACTTGTGTGGCCTGCATGTGTACTACTGCAGTGATCTTATCTACTCGTAACTGTAGCTTTCGTAGCTGCTCCGATCGATCCTGTTCACTATTCCATTCCACTTGCACTTGTGGAGTAATTATATATATATATATATATATATATATATATATATATATATATATATATAAAATTAAAAACGCAACACAACCCTATATTAAATAAATACGGATCGAGTATGTATGTAATAAAAAAATTATACACCACACCGTGGAAATAAAGAGACGATGGAATTGGATTCTCTGTGCGTACGGTATGATGGAGGGTATGAGTATATTCATCATGCATGCATGGACCATACATGCATATATGCTCTGATATGATGCTGATGCTATAGTGCTGGGGATCGATCGGATAGACATATAGATAGATACTCCCTCCGTCCTATAATAGACGTTTTTGATTTTTTATTTGTAATGTTTGGCCATTCATTTTATTTGAAAAATTAGTGCAAATATAAAAAAAAGTAGTATGTAAAGTACTTTTGATAATAAAGCAAATGACAAACAAAATAAATAATAATTTTAAAATTTTTTGAATAAGACGAATGATCAAACATTGACAAACAAAAAGTCAAAAAGATAAGTAATATGGGACGGAGGTAGTAGATATGCAAATTGCTTTGATCGATTCAGATGCTCGCCCCTGCCTGCAGCAGATGCAGGTCTTGATCGATCGTTTCTCTACTTATATTTATCCATCAGATCAGATCACATCAGTTTCTGTACTAGCTTGTCTGAAAAATTAATTTTCACCGTTAATTAATGATGATATCGATGGAGATGGAACGATGAGGAGTGGGTGCAAATTAATAAATTATTAATTAAGAAGCTAATTAGTTAGTAAAAGGGACAACACACAGAAACGTCGTCGTCGGCTGCCTAGCTATTGATATCGATAGATCACTAGCAAGTATTGATCGATCGATGTACTACGGGACAGGACAGCATGTTGTAGTAGAGCGAGGCACGAATATCTACTCCGATCTGTTTCAAAAAGATTTATTTAAATTATAGAAATGAATCTGGACAATCGATTATGCATGGCCATGGGGAATCGATCGATCGACTGATACAATAATCTGGCCAACCAATACATGAGGATCATATCGGATGTATTGGGCGATTATATTGGATAAGGCACATCCATCGATAATCCTGCACTTTATTTCTTTCCCTCACCCTGCGCCTGAGGGACCTCCGCCTATCACTCTCTGCTTTCTAGCTCTCTCTATTAATTAGGAGTATTACTGCAGGCAGCACAGTAAACACTCGCTAAGTACATTAGTTTGAGTACTTGCTAGCTAGTAAATCCACAAGTACTATTATATACCAGAAAAATATTTAGTACATATTAAGTTATATGGAGTATATATGCATGCAGCAGAGAGCTGGCCTCAAAATCACCCTGCCCGTCAGCTTAATTTTGCATATATATATATATATAGAGAGAGTAGGTTAGATATTCTACATGCTTGCTTAACGAAGAAAGAATTGAACGATTGAGCAAATTAATTACTTCTTTCCTCAAAGTAGTGATTAAGCTACTCCAGCTAGCTGCTTATAGTATATTATTAACCGATCGATAAATCGGTCCACAAACGTACGATCAATCGAATTCAGTAAATTCAGCATATATAGATATAGATATAGATAGAAATTAAGATACTAGCTAGTAGTACATACCTTTGGAAGCCATGGATGAAATAAGCGAGCGAAGAGCCTCTGCTGGCCTAGATGAGATGAGCCTCTGCTAGCTCTCAAGTCGATCTCAACTCAAATTAATTGCCTCCCAGTACTTGGATTCTCCTTCTTCCTCCTCTCCGATCCTCTGTTTCTCGATCGATCTCTTGGACTGGACTGGCTAGCTACTGGAGCCTGTACCTAAGCTCTTCTTCTCCCTCTTCCTCTTATAATTAAATTCCTCTTCTTTTCCCCCCAGGCCCCTCTCTCTATCTCTCTATATATAGTCCCAGCCGCCGCCGCTCAATTAATTTATCGATCTTGTCTTGAACAATTCAGTATATCCCCGATGGATCCATCCATGAATTAATTATTAATCAGATCGATTCACTTCACTGCTTAATTAATTATACACTCACACATTAAAAAGGACATATATACAGGACAAGAGAGGCACATGTATATGGAGTGGGCGTGTCCACAATTATTATAGCTAGCTAGTAGCGAGGCGTTCTTCTGTAATTTGTAATTTGTACAGTACTACGTACTAACTCCGTTTCATATTATAAAACTTTCTAGTATTATCCACATTCATATAAATATTAATGAATTTAGGCACACATATATATCTAGATTTATTAACATATATATAAATATGGGCAATACTAGAAAGCCTTATAATATGAAACGGACGAGTATTAGTGAAACCAGCCGTACAGCATGGACACTCGATACTCTACTGTACATCCATACTCGATCACGTTTCATCTAAAAATGCATAACTTATCTAGTACTTATAGTTCACCAAAACAAAGCCTCCTCGATTTAGTATTTACTTTAATTTTATTTCAGAAGATCTTTTCTGTGGAAAGGCGAAGATCTAGACCACTCTAACCCGGGAGATAGCCTGATTAGCTGGCAAACTGTCTGCAAACCGAAGGTTGAGGGGCTGGTCTCCTGGAATTAGAACGCTTTTCCAGGGCATTACATCTTCGTTGGTTATGGCTTAATTGGAAGGAGGAAGAAAAGCCTTGGGTGGGCATGAACCTGCCCTGTGACGAATCCGGCAATAGACTCTTCCAAGCTGCAACAACTATTTAGGTTGTAAATGGCGCCAAAACAAGATTCTGGCATGATAGCTGGCTACAAAATCGCTTCCCAAAAGACATTGCACCAAGATGTTTTAGCTTGGCGAAGAGAAAACAAAGATCTGTGCAACTTGAACTTACAGACAACAAATGGCTAGCCTCTTTTAGACAATTTACTTCCGTGGAGGAAATTCATGAGCTCGTACAGCTAGGAGGCTTAATTCAATTGGCCTCGCTATCCCAAGAACCGGATGACATTACCTGGAACTGGACTGATTACGGTTCCTACACAGCCAAGAGTGCGTATCTCTACCAATTTGAAGGTTCTTTTGCAAAACTTGACTTTCTTTCACTTTGGAAGGCTCCAGCGGAGCCCAAAATGAGATTCTTTGGATGGCTTGTCCTTCATCAAAAAACCCTCACAGCACAAAATATACTTCGAAGACATTGGCCGTGCACTTGGATTTGCCGCCTTTGCACTTGTTCTTTTGAAGACACAAACCACCTGCTCAATGAGTGTATTTTTACTAGACAAACTTGGAGTTTAATCTGCCAATTTCAAAATCTGGGCCCTTTGGCTACGCCCCACCCCCCCTCATGTTGAAACTTGGTGAACTAGAGCCAACCCTGTGGGAAGCAAAGATCAAGTGCAAGCGATCAGAGGCTCATTACTAACTACTTGGTGGAATATATGGCTAGAAAGAAACAGAAGAATTTTTCAAAATTCTTGCCTCACAGTAGGTGAAGTAGCACACCTTATTAAACAAGATATGGACTTGCGCAGGCTTGCTTTCAAGCCCCCCTGATCCTCCTTTCTTCTTAAGTTGTATTTCCTCTTTGTTATAGTTCCTGTAAACTCTTTGCTAGGTTTCGCCCTTCCCTAATTTAAATTCCGGCAGATCTCCTGCCGTCGTTCTCCTCAAAAAAATTGGAATTATAAGTATACAAACTTGTACTTAGTTTAATTAATTTGCAGCCTCAATTTAGCTTTTGCATGATCTAACAACTTTTAAATTCATAATTGATAAATATTGAGTTGTATGCATTGAATTTATAGCTAGTGTTAATTAACCCTACTTTTTCCATGATCAAATAAATCTGAAATTCACAATTGAAAAGTTGTGTATTCGGTTTGGAGCCTCAATTATACTTAGCTTTTATGATTCAATGATTCCAAAATTAGTATTGAGTTGCATTCGGCTTGAAGTCTCAGTTATAAATTTTTCCTGAATTTATAGTTATAAAATTTGCCATTAATTGAAGAAATTGACTTTTTCCTGGTTTGGAATGCTAATTATAGCTGGTCTATGATTTAATAATTTCATAATTCGGAAGAAACAAGTATTGAGTCGTCCTCAATTTGGAGTCGAAATTTTAGTCTTTTCATGGTTAATAATTCTGAAATTCGCAATATACTTGGTTTAGAGTATAATTTATATATTTTCCATGATTTAAATTTCTCAAAACTGGAATTAATCACTGCCTATTTGTTCTCTTGTTGGACTCCCAATTTAGCCTTTTTCTTAATTTAATAATTATAAATTTCAGAAATAATAAGTACCAAGTTGTATATAGTTTGGACTCTCGCTTTGATATTAAATTAAAAAAAAATAAAGAATCCACTAGATTTCCAATGTTCTATCCTATTTACACAAATTCTCGATATGATGCACTACCACATAACAACACATTAGTGTCCCCATCATCAGTGTCGGCGATGAGGGAGGATCGGAGAGAGATGGGGATTCGACGGCGACGATGACGGATTGAGGGGGCAGATGGGGATTCAGGAGATGGTACGGCAGATGGGGATTCAGGAGATGGCGCAGCGGTGATGGCGGAGGATGGCGCTTTGATGGATCGGTGATAATGACAGTTCTAGGGTTTGGGGTGTTCGGGAGAGAGAACCGGGATAGGAGATGGCAGGGCGACAGTGGCGCGATGTGTTGGCGGCATCGGGGATGATTGGGGTGAGGATGGGGATTTTGTGAGTGATTTTCGGGTGGGCGGAGTGAGAGGGGGTGAGCAGCTGAGGGGAAACGTGGGATGATTTGAGGTGTTGGATGCGATGAATTTGGATCATCGGATTTGATGAATGAGGTTTGTAGGACTGCAGTTGGTAAATTATATGGTAGAAATGAAGCTACCATGTCATGGTCTTCATGATTCTTTTTTGAACTTGTCTATTCTGGATAAGCTTTCCATCGACTGATTTTACTTTTTCCTTAACCGAATCCACTAAAGAATTTTACCAAATTCTAGCGTTAATAGACCCTTCTTTGGCACCAGCCTGAGCTTGTGCATCAGATTGTGTTGCGTGTGCGAGACCGTGTGACTCGGGCTAGCGGTCGCGAGCTTGGCCATAATCCTCTTGCTGAGTTTCGGCACTACCCCTACAACCACAACGGTAGGCGCCGGAGGCAGGGGTAGTGGGAGCAGCCTAAGGAGCAGAGGCCTAGAGCAGCTGGCGAGGAAGGTGCGTAGCATGGCGTTCTCCGCGTTCGAAGATGGTAGTGAGTGTGTGCCATCAGCCGGCCCTCGAGATTGGGAACGACCATCGGCACGTCAAACAAGATCCGGTCCCTCGCGACCGAAGAGCAGTCAGCCGACCACAGCGGCAGGGAACAAGATTGACTATGGCAGAGAACGGCCGAGTTTGGATAGCGGAATCCGATTCGACCGAAGCGGTGGAGGTGATCTTGGCACGACCAGCGCCAAAGGGCGTCCGCTCGCTGCGATGGCACTGCCATCAGGGAGATGGGTTTGGCCGTGACATTTTAGTTTTATCGTGATCCAAATATATAATTCAGGCATAAATACTGCATCGTGGTGCCAAATACTAAATTAAGTAAAGAGAAAAAAATGTTTTACGTCTGTTTTAATTAAAATGACAAATTTAAAAGTAAGACAGATGGCTAGTTGGCTACTTTGTATCTGTTTGACATATTCTAAAAAGCATGTTTTTAAATTTTACTATATTATTAGTAAGATAATTATTATATTATGCATTGAAGTACTCTGTTGAATCTATAAAACAAAAACCCTCAATCTCTCTTTTCAAAAACTTTTGTGCATTACTAATCCGGTGATATACTCATACATGCAGCAACTAGACAAATATAATGGAGCCGCCTAACCAATTGTGAGACAACATGGTAAGAATATAATACTGTAGCGCTAAATCTCATCGATCGATTGGCGAGAAGAGAGCAACTTCATCGCTTTCCATGCCAGGTTGTCGGCCAATTTGGCTTGTTCACTTGCCATCCATCGCTCCATGCATGCATCTACATTATATTCAATTCATATACCTACAATCCTACATATGCATCCTTATCTATTCTTCGAGATAGAAGCAAACATACATTAAATCGTACCCATATTTTTTTCCGAAGGAACGTAGCTCCTGCAATTAAGATAATTAGTTAAATTTACAAGAAAAACTATTAAAAACTCTGACACTATCAAAACAAACAAACCAACCATACAATCCCTGAGAAGATGAACCTGCTACACCAAAGCACGAAAACGCTGACTCTATCACAAGGGTGTCATCGTTGCTCTCCCACACCCAAGTGTCCTGAGCTAGCAAAACAGGAAGGAAAAAACTCGAAGGCAATGCCCCCAAGAAGGTAACGCTGATAGAACAACATCATCGTCTCATCCAAAATTGATCAAGGTTTGAATTTGGAGAACTCCCCTAAGGCAATAGAATACAAAGGGCCATAGCAACACATCCAACAAGGTTAATGGAGGAGGAACAAATCGAACACAACAAATGAGAAGATGGAATGGAATGGAGTGAACTCACCTTCGAAACTGCCAAGAGCCCTTAGAAACCCTAGTTTGATTGTGCGAAATGAGGGAGAAGTGTATGGGCATGGGTAGAGGGGTTTTTCACTACCTCAGCGCCAACAGGCTTGGCATTGAGGTTGGGGAGGTCAGCACAGATGCGGGTGGTGACCTTTGCCACGTCAGCTTGTAGGCCCAGTCTCCTGCTCGACAGCCTGTGACGGTCGTCACTACCTCAGCGCTAAGCAGCGTGCTAGAGCTCAGTGCCATCAGCCCTAGCGCTGAGGTTGGGGTCCATTTTTTATGATAGTTTTCGGCTAGACCTATTTTGAAATAAGTTTTCAAAAAGGAACAAAATGTGAAATTTTCGATATCTATCAGTGTCACGGTGAAATTGAAATTGAAAAAAAAAGTCTTGTGCCCTTGTGCTTGGAGGCTCATCGAACCCTGAGAAAAAACATGTGGGAAAAAAAGAGGGGGCAGAGCACACACGCGACTTCATTACGTCGCGAGTTTGTGCCGCATAGGAATTTTGAACCATAAGTACCTGTCCAACCAGCGTGAATAAAGTAGTCTCTCTCGAGCCTCGTTGTTGTTGACTATGCATATATATAGAGAAAGGGACTTTAACTCCCTCAACAATGTTCCGAGTATGACTCATGCCCTCCAAACGCGAAACTGGGTATATCGACTACTCCAACTATAAGTACAGGTGCAAACTATGTCCCATGGTGGTTTTGCGAGCGGTTTTGACTGACGTGGAGGTGTTGACCTTGTCTTCATCCTACCTGGCATTGATGTGGCTCTTCTGTGGCATTAGAATTTAAAAAATATGTGGGACCCATATGTCATTGTTGACGGAAAACACGGTGGCCTGGGAGATCTACTTAATCCCAGTGCAGGTCCAAGGCTAGCCTCGAGTGTGTTAAGGGCGTGCCGGCTGGTTTGATCTTGAAACCAGCAAGGAAAACAATAAATAGAGTGAGTCAGCCGATAGCCAATCGGCCGATAGGCCGATGATATATCGTTAGTGATCCCAGCCGATGTAGTTGAACCAGATCGGCAATGGATTGAAATATAAATTAAGCACAAACCCTAAATATGCCTCATCGGCAGTAATATCATTTGTTTGGTTTATCAAACGTATTTTAGAGGATACTATAGAAATAGCCAATGGAACAATATTTATAGCAAGATAGGTAAATAAAGATAATCTACTAGCTAATACTCTAGTACAAGCTTATATAAACAAATAAATCTATAGAAATATATCAAATAACAATCAACTACCAAGTTTGCAAACCCGGACGATACTGATCTAGACTTGATATATTTATTGGAGTGATATGTCTATATAAGTGGTAAATATACATAAAACTAGTAAAGAAGCATGTATATTAGGTAAGATTGGCTGAAACTCTGATACTATCCTTAATTATGATTAATTCCAGGTTAGTTTTTAGGGTTCAAAACAAGACTAGGGATGATGCATCGCAAAGTATATAAAGAAACCTAAAGTCTAAACAATCAAGTAATTAAACGCTTTTCAGGATGGTGGATGCCTTAGCTAATCTAATATAGTAAGACAATTTAGCCGATATCGGCGAGAACCCTAAAGTGAGAACTAGCTGATAGGGCTAAAGCGAGATACTAAGACTAGATTAACTAAGACATATGATAGCAGATGGGTCATGATAAAACATCTAAAGTGACATAATAGCTCCGATAGCACAAGCCATCGAGACTTACCTCTTGTTGAGAGAAGTCGCCGAAAAGAAGAACAAATGGGTGGCGATGCACCAAAGTTGTATTGGATTTGTTGTCTTCTATTACAATGATCTGGGGTCTATATTTATACCCCGAATACAAGCTTAGGGTGTGTTTAGTTCCACTCTCAAATTGAAAGTTTGACTAAAATTGAAAGTTTGAAGAAAAAAGTCGGAAGTTTATGTGTGTAGGAAAGTTTTGATGTGATGGAAAAGTTGGAAGTTTGAAGAAAAAGTTGGGAACTAAACAAGGGCTTAGTCCATTATAGACATGACTCAAACTTTCCTAAAGATAAAATACAAACAAGACCGCATGACGGTCTCTTACCATATCTCTAACAAAAACTGACATAAATACCCTAATTAATATATACAATTGCCTTAATTGAGCTCTATCTATAATTGGCGATGGCGGTTATTCCAAACTAGGCCAAAACCGAGCCCAAGTCATATCGTATCAGTCATTTGCCATATTGGCTAAGCCAAGTCTGTACTCTATTTCCAGCCGATACAATACCAGCCGATGCGTAGTCCGATTCTAAATCTAATTCGATCTTGCACCAAATCTGCTTCGATTTTGTTCCTTCCTCTCTGAGTTTGATGCAAAATTCCGTTGTTAACAGTCATTCATACAAAATATATATATGGGCCCACATGTCATCCTCCCTCCTTTCTATCTTTGCCTCGCGCCATCGCACCCACGAGCTCGGCGGAACCGCCTCTCCCCTCTCTCTTCCACCACCGCGACTGCCTCGGATGGCTAGGCGGAGCTCTCAGCCATGGAGGTAGCCGTTCTCCTCTCCCCCACCACCTCTCCCTCTGCCCCTCCTCTCTACGACGCCCGCCCATTGCCTCTAGGCCAACCCTCTCTCCTCACCTTTCTCTGGCCGCCGCCTCTACCCGTCTCCTAGATGAAGTGCACAGGAGGACCACCATGAGCTTCTCCGAACCGTCGAGCTAGCTCCACACCACCCCGCTGAGCCATGCGAGGTGAAGAGAGCTCGTGGTTGCGATGTCAACGCAACATAGGATGAAAACCCGATCAACACCGTCATGTAGGTTCCACGTCAGCCAAAACCACCGAGGGACATAGTTTGCACCGGTTTTGATAGTTGGAGGAGTCGATATACCCGGTTTCACGTTTAGAGGGCATGAATCATATTTGGACCATAGTTGAGGGGGTTAAAGTTCACTTTTTCCTAGAGGAAGGTTGGTAGCAACTCTAGCTACCGGCCTAGATGGGGGAATTTTGGATGCATATATATATATATATATATATGTGAAAATTGGCCATGCCATATGCCTGTGGGCCATCTCCAACCACATGCCCAATTGCTACCTTGAACCGTCACAGCGATCTCGCCTCCTCCATGTTACTTCCATTCCCTCTGTTCCATATATATTATAAATTGTTCTGTCTATTTTAAATCAATCTACAAATTTTATAGAAAAAATATAGCAACGCATATAGCATCAAATTAATTTTATTAAATCTAACATTTAATATATTTTGATAATTTCTTTTGTTTTATATTCAAAATGTTACTATATTTTTCTATAAACTTGATCAAAGCTAAAGAAATTGACTTTGGGGAAAGTCAAAATGACTTATGTATGAAATTTATAAACGAATGGAGTACTATTTATTTATTATCAGTTTGTGTGTTCAGCACAGAGTCCTAACATGATTTTCATTTATTTAGTGACATATACCTATAGCTTGTCAAAATTTAATAGTTAATAATATGAAAGATGATTTTCCCAGACAAATGGGTTTTATCTCTACCATTAAAATTACGCTGGTAATAATACTGAGAAGGTCTTGTGGTCTAAACTCACCTTTAAAAATGATTTTTACTATTGAGCATTTAAGAGGACCGCCCGAAAATATCTTTATTTTTTTGAAAATATCTTTATTTTCACAGGTGAGAGCCTCCTAGCGAGAAGGCCTATGCAAATTGAGGAGCGGTAATAAAATGCGCTGGCCCATCCATGAGTCGCGCAGTCTCCTACCTCTCTCCCAATTCTCTCCTCCTTCGCTCTATTCCATCCATGTCGCCACCACTGTCAACCACCGCCAAACTGCTCCTCTCCCTCCCTCCTAGCGACTCGACCACTGAGCGCGCCCATGGTCTTGGGAGTGGCAAATCTGCTCGCTTTGCCTCCTTACCCTTCTTCGTCAACCCCCTCGGCGACGATGGTGGCTCGGTGATGACAACCACGACGAGGCATTTGACTCAACGACAGCGACAATGACTATGGTGAGGACATCGTCGCATGGCTGCAGCTGCTATTGCATGCAGAGGGGCACCGTGATGGATTTGGCGAATTTGTGAATTTGGGATTCTGCGGGCTATGATTAGATTTAAGTTTCCATTTTCTTTTGCACCAAAAGACATTTGCATGGACATATCTCTTTAGACTATCGCATTTGAAAATCAATTCACAAGCGGTCTCCTTAGAGTACTCGCTTCTGAAAATCTATTTTTCATAGACGGTTGTGGAACTGGTAGTTAATTTGTTAGAGGCTGGTGGCTCGGCCGCCTGCACAACCAGATTTTGTCACCATCAAAAACTATGTTCGTAGTAGTGTAACTTCTATTCATTTATTTATCATCAGTTTGGTTGTTCTGCTTGATCATAGCTGCAACATGGTTTTTGTTAAGATCCATATATAATTGGTGTCAAGTTATTGTGCAAGCTTATATTTTGATACATGAATATATGACATTACTATATATAATTATATATACGCCCTACAGTTCATCTTCCTATGTTTGAAAGTGTGATATTAATTGTTCTAGTTCAATCGCGCGATGATTTTGATTTAGATCTGCGAGTGGTTATCATCCATGCATGATGTCAAATTGCCATACATTTGTATTGCTTAAGATTTGTGATTATGTGATATCATACTGTTGGCCTCTCCATGAAGGTCAATAACCATTAGAGATGCCATGTGATCTCTCTAAAGTCTTCGATTCAGAACCGTTAGAGATTAGTATAGGTTATTTCTAATGGTTGTTTAAAAACAGTCAGGATTATACGTAATAAATTTGTCAAATAGAAACTTATCTCGTCCTTATATAGCTAGTCAATTGAAATGTCATATGAATCGGCTAATTGACTAGCTATAGAATGACGAGATGGTACTTGGCAAAAATCCTGTTTAGTTTTCAAACAAAAATTTTTCACTCTGTCAGCCTGTTTAGTTTCCTGTCACATTGAATAAACCGGGACTAAAGATGATTTTTAGTCCCGGTTGGTGTTGCCAACCGGGACTAAAAATCATCAAAGTTTTAAACCGGGACGAAAAATGATCTTTAGTACTAGTTCCTATCCAAACCGGGACAATTGTGGTTTTTCCCCACTCGGCAAAGATCACTTAGTAGTGTTTGGACACATGCATGGAGTATTAAATATAGAAAAAAACTAATTACAAAGATTACGTGTAAATTGCGAGACAAATCTTTTAAGCCTAATTGCGCCATGATTTGATAATATGGTGCTACAGTAAACATTTGCTAATGGCAGATTAATTAGGATTAATAAATTCGTCTTGCAGTTTCTAGGCAGAATTTGTAATTTGTTTTGTTATTAATCTATGTTTAATATTTCAAATGCGTTCGTATATTTGATGTGACACGTCAAAAATTTTGGTTCGCGAAGTAAACAGGCCCTTAGGTGTCGAAAACGAAAAGTCAATCAACAGCAAGCGATATATAGATAATTGATCAGCAAAGTCCATTGGTACACAAAGAAGCTAAGCTAGCTCATCAGATTACATAAAGAGTCGAGGGAAATTGACTAACCTAGATAGCTAAAACTAATTTAAGAACAATATCAAATATGTAATCGATCGAGGAAGCGATAACGAAACGAACGATATGCCGACACACATGTGGCATGCATATTGGCAGTGGCACACACGTACGTACGTACGAATTAACGCATATGGCCGCAGAAACAAATTAAATCGATAGATCTAAGTGATTAGCAGCTAGCTAGCTTAGAGTGGAAGTAGGATTACTCTCTGCTAGTAATTAATTGGTGGAGGTGGAGCAAGAGGAGGACTTGGAGCTGCTGCAGCAATCTTCCTTGAGGCCGCCGCTGGTGCTCTTGGTCGGGAACAGCTCCAACGTTTTCAGCGGCCGGCAGCACGGCGGGATCGCCATGTCAGCAGCAGTTGCCGACGCTGACGCCGATGCAGTGCTGCAGTAGTCCACCGCCGCCGGCCACTCAGCTTGCTGCTGCTGCTGCTGCTGCAGGTGATGACTTTGGGCAGCGGCGGCCGCAGCGTATGGGTGATGGTGGTGGTGGTGGTGGTGTAGCTGCATCACCGCGGGGTGCACCTGCACGACGGCACCGGCAGCAGCAGCAGTGGGAGCCGGAGGCACCGTGGAGGAGGGCGGTGAGGGTTGCTGCTGGTGCCGCGCGCAGAGGCGGCGGCGGAGGCGCTGGCGCTCGCGGGCCTTGTGGTTCTGGAACCAGTAGAAGACGTTCTTGCCCTCGATGCGGCCGTAGTAGGCGAGGTGCGCCGTGATTTGCTGGATCTCTGCCGCGTTGGGCGTTCGCACGCCGCTCCTGTACATCTCCTCCAGGATCATCAGCTGCTCCGGCGTCGGGCACCACCGCGTCGAAGGGGTCTGAGGCATCCTCCTCAGCTACGTACCTACACACGATTTCTCTCTCTCTCTCTATATATATGTATCGAATATCGATGGATCACTAGCACTCGATCTAGCGTGACTAGCGCGAGTGACACGATATGATGAGATCGAGTCGTTGCAGCTGGTAGAGCTATCTGATAAGCTGCTTATGTATATATAGGCCGGAGTTGCTAGCTAGCTAGCCAGCATATATAAATTTACTTAGTTTATGATTTCTTGGATAGTGGAAAATCTTATTCAGGCACTTATTAATTGGAGGCGTCTACAAATTGGGCGCCAGATTTTTCCAAAAAAATCAGTGTGTTGTTTCACCATTATTTATAAAAACAATGTTTCAGCACTTAGCGAAAGAATGTTTCAGTTCTTAAAAAAATTGAAACACGGTGAGATCACTAGATGAAACAATTTGGTTTAACATATGCAACAAAACGATCTAAGCCATTGAAATACTTAAACCCTATGTACAACAAAACAAACCCAGTGTACATCAAGATAAAAATATTAAACACTATCTAAAATCCACTACAACATTTGATCTACACATAAAGAAACATCATGAGTATATTAGCTGAACATTGCTTTTGAACCATCGAAATATCAACGAAACCTGAATGTCGAAAATAGAAATATGAAACCCTATCAAAATATCCATTGCAACATTTGATCCAAACACAATGAACATTACGAGTACACTAGCTGAAACACACAAAAAACATAGAACCTGGTCTAGATTGCATCTCCTCCTCTCTGACAAACACAGGGTTGCCCGCATTGATCTTCTCCACCGCCCTCATAACCGAATCTAGAGGAGGAGAAGGGGGAGGGCGGTGGAGATGAGGAGGGAGTGCTCCTGGGAGAGAGAGGGAGCCGGCGAGTCTCCTCCTCCACCACCACCGCCGCCGTCGTTGCCACCTCGCCGCGCATGCATCATCCTCCGCGTCGGCCACCACCACGGGGACGAAACCGCCGTCGACGTCGAGGAAGAAGAAATGCAGTGGCGGATCCGACGAAGAGACGACGCGGGCGAGGTTGACGGGAGAGAGGAAGCAGCGCAGGCGAGGTTGGCGGGGGAGAGGAGGCAGCACAGGCGAGGGAGCTCGTGTAGAGGAGGTGGCGCCGACGGGGGAAAGGAGGCGACGCGAGCGAGGGAGGCGTGGGGAGTCCTAGCGACGCGAAATGAGACGCGCGGGCACATGATATTTTTCTCTCTCATCAGACGCCCGTGTATAAGGATTTTTGATATTAATTAGGTGCACGTACACAACCTAACTATATTCAAAATTTCAAATAACGCCAAATAAAAACATGATAGTAAATCATAAAAGGGACGAAACAAGACCCGCTATCAACAAAACTAAAGAGAATAAATAACCATAATATATAGTTTCAACTAGTTACTATTTTTATTTTTTTTCTCCGAGGTATATTTCAAGTTTAAGAAATTACCGGAACCTGATTGAATCAAACGAATTTGTCTCCAAGGATTACTATTTTTTAATACATGAGCTATGCATACCTCGTAGTACAACACCAGCTGGGTTATTGTTTGTTTGATTCCTAATTGTTGGTTGATCTTATTGGTTAGTATCCATACAAAATGGGGGAGATACAATTTTCCACCGGTTTTCTTCCCAACAAGAAAATAAGAGATTAAAAAAGTTGTTGTGATCCGTAACAACTAATTAGATTCCTAATCAAAATTGGCCCCTGAGTCTCACCAATGCATTTATATGGGGTTAAGACACCAAGAGAAGGCCTATGAAACATAAGTCTCTATCGCTAAACCCTAAACCATAGAGAGCTCGATCTATCTCAAAGCGCAGGAAGGGGTTCGTGAGGCGATCCCTGACCAGTGTCGCCGCCAATGCACTGAAGGATGTTGTCTACATGATGCATCGAGAAATTAAGTTAACTATTTGTAACTATTAGGTTTGACAATTATCCAAATTACCCTGTTAGATTTGCTTTTATTTTTTCCCCTTTAATAAAGGGGTGGTTTCTTAACTATTTACCACTTTTGCCCACATGGCATGCCAACATGGCAACCTAGGGTGAAAAACAGTGTGGGATCTTTACTCGTGAAAAAAGATCGTATAGTGAGGAAATCAAAGGTACTGATGAGTGGATCTCACATTTTTCACCGTGGGTTATCACGTTGGCATGCCACGTGAAGAAAAGTAGTAAATACTAGTTACTAAACCAGTTCTTTAGAGAGAAAAATAAAAGTAAATTTAAGAGGGGCATTTGTATAATTGCATGCCAAACCTAATATAGTGGCAAATAGTTAAATTTCCCGAATACATCAACCCATCGGTGACCACTAGTTGATCAAGCTGGTGATCAGTAGCCACAGATCTCCTGCAATCTCGAGCAGGCGGATATTGCAATATATGCATCAAGAAGGAAGAAAATAAAATAAAGGATGGAAGGAGAGATCAAAGGCAAGTTCAATGGCTTCATAAAATTAATGCTTAGTACAAAATTAATTCCGCAATCAGCAGTGGTGGTAAGGCTAAGATTCAATTTCTGCAATTTAGACTCTTAACTCACTAGTAATTAGCGGATCGAGCTAGCAGCTGGAATCTGGTATATATGTCCGCTTCACTATTTCATTTCTTTTTCTTTCCGTAGAGCATCCCAGCAGCTCCTCTATCACGTACGCCATTCCGAAAATAACATATGGGGGAAGAAAAAGGGGCTCCAGCAGATGCGCCATCATAGCCTCCAATTTTAGCGCATCCACCATCCTGGAGAGAGGAACGTCAAATTGGCATTTCTCTCTCCTTATACCATCCCACAACTGTCTTCCTTCGGATCAAATTCGCGCCACAATCAGAATCACGTCCTTCCCAGATTCAGGAATAGAGGTTGGGGAATGGAGGTAGAGTGGTGGTACCAACAGGATCTGGTGGAGGTAGTCGGAGTAGAAGCAGTGTCGCCGCACATCCTCCTCCGCGTGCGCCTTCCGCCACCACTCCCACCGCACCTCCCCCTCCGCGCCTTCCTTCCATCGACGCTCCCACCGCACCTCCAATTTTTGCGCCCGCCTTCCACCGCCGCACCTCCCCCTTTGCTTCCGCCGCCGCTCCCACCGCACATTCCCTCCGCGCACGCTTTCGGTCGCCGCTCCGCCCGCTTAGCCGCATCGGCAGTATCACACATCTATGCGGCTGGGGACTGGGGTTGGGGAAAGGCGTTATCTCTTCTTTTTTATTATTATTATTATTATTATTATTATTATTATTATTATTATTATTATTATTATTATTATTATTATTATTATTATTATTATTATTATTATTATTTGCTTTCATAGTAAACGTAGTACTTGTTTTATTAATCAACCATCCATATATGTGAGAGATTAAATTAGTAACTATCAGTGAAGCATGTCTAGAGAATAGTGATACATTGTTTCTTTTAACTAATCCAGGCTTTAAAAAAACACGTACATAGAAAAGTTGGTTACAATATATTATTAAAATATATAAAAATTGAAGATGTTTTTGCCGGTATTTTGGTACGTCATCCGTGTATGAGTTGGTTTTTATGTTCGTTTCCTTTTGGAAATACATATCCGTATTTAAGTCGATTTTCAAGGTCGTTCACTTTTGGTAATACATAAGGAATCATATAAGAAATCTGTTTAAAAAAACTCGCATGCTAACTTGAGACGATCAGACTCCTAACTATAGCTCATGATTTTGTAAAAATATACTCCCTCCATCCACAAAAGTTACACATATTACTTTTGACACCAATACCAAGGAGAAATTAAATCACCTTGGATGTTACAAAATCAAGGAGTGAATGCAAGCATGTAACCAATGAGTATTTAGATGACTCTTTGGGTTCTAATAAAACATTTAATTTATCTCTTCATTTAAGTCTTGAATGCATAAAGACTACAAATAGGAACAACTTATTTGAAAAAACTCAAATATGAAATAGGTGCAACTTTTGTGGATGGAGGGAGTATATATCCAAGCGAACTCCCATAGTGAATTTCATCTTAACTAAATCATATATAACATTAATAAGATTAAAATAGACTTCACCCGTTGCAACGCATGGGTATTTTTTCTAGTATTATTAAAATATATAAGAGGCGATATGAAGGGTATAATAAGGATGATATGGATGATGTGTTGAAGTAGGAAGAAATATAGAAAAGGAATCTTTATTAGATAGTCATCCAAACTGAGACGTGGAGTAGCCAATTTAGATGAGCTGCTGTTAGACCGCTGCGCATGCATGTAAATTTCACAGGTTCCGTTCCAGCTTTAAGCTGTACTTTTTTCTCTTCGTCTACGTTGAATTGACAAACAGTAGTACCACAGCTGCAGCGCAGTGCAGTGGTGCTAGTTAATGTTAAATGAATGGCTAGACGTTCAGAGGTCAGAGAGTACGTAGTGTGGAATGGAAGAGGGCAGTGATCGCTGCAATTGCATGTAGCTAGCTAGCAGGGACAGGGACAGGATGCATGGGTGCAAGAGGATCGATACTATATATACGTAATTGCATGCACACTGTTGTCCTTAGCCGGCATTCAAGTGAAATCTTGAATGCGATCGATCATCGATGCCCCTTCAATTCTCTCTTCAACTACACTAGACAGCAGAGGAGGATGCATGTGTTTTTAAAGTTTTGCCTGCCTGCTAGCTATAGCTTGTAGTACGTACTACACCAAGCTACGAGAGAGAGTAATGGGGAATGCATTCATATGCATATATATGCTAGGCACAACACAACCCTTCTGCCTTGAGGCTGCAGTTGGTTATTGGGTACTGCATCATAAGGTGATGATGGAGAGAGACACCACCTATATATCTCTACAGTTCCTTCAGTTCTCACTCTCTTTTTGTTCTTTTCCTACGTACTACTAGACCCTCTGATGAAGGCCCACCCATACATTACATGCACGCTTGACTGACACAAATTGAAGAATGACCTCCCAGCAATTGACTATATGTGTATATTATTTCAATTAGGTAAGTTGTATTTGCTAGCTATATGCTGGTATTTGCATCACATATCGCGCGTTCTCGATGTAGCTGCCTAAAATCCCCAAAACAGACAGAATGCTAGATGATATAGCCACTGAAAATG